GGAATCCTATTACCCCCTAAACTTATTTTAAATGGAATTATTTGCACCCTTAACGCTGCCGTGGCAGAGTGTATTTCACTCTCCTTATGATTTTCGAATTATTTTTTATTCTTTTTTACCATTTTTTTCTTACTTTTTTTTTTTCCTTTTCCTTTTCCTTTTTCTTTGTCTTTTTTCTTTTACTTTTTTTTTTCGTTTCTTCTCTAATTCCGGCAGATATTCATTCACCGNACACACTTTTTCTTTGCGGGAATCCTATTACCCCCTAAACTTATTTTAAATGGAATTATTTGCACCCTTAACGCTGCCGTGGCAGAGTGTATTTCACTCTCCTTATGATTTTCGAATTATTTTTTATTCTTTTTTACCATTTTTTTCTTACTTTTTTTTTTTCCTTTTCCTTTTCCTTTTTCTTTGTCTTTTTTCTTTTACTTTTTTTTTTCGTTTCTTCTCTAATTCCGGCAGATATTCATTCACCGTCGACTTTGTCTAACCATTTTTCTTCCATTTTTTCTTTTCACACACAAATTAAACTCTCAAAAAGATCTATTCATAAGCAAAGCAAAATACACTCAGATTTGGAGAAAAAAATTCATCATCGGAAAACCTTCCTACGCCGGAAAAAAAAGGATGTATTGAAATTTTAATTGAAAAAAGTTTTCTCAGCTTATATTTGTTTTTATTTCTTTTGCTCTTCCTCCCATACATAAATTACACTTTCAAGAAAAATTTATATATATGTAAAACAAAACACACTTAGATCGGGATAAAAATCTGTCGCCAGAAAAAAAAATTCGCCGGAAAAAATGGTGTTTGTGAAATTCCGACGACCGCCATTTTGTGCCGCCGGTGACCAAAACAAAAAGAAAGAGAATGAAATAACCAAAAAAATGAGAATAATAAGAAATAAGAAAAAAGGATAAGAAAAGGAAAAAAGAATAAAAAAAGTACTAAAAATACATGTGGGGGCGCGTGTAGCTCACCACTTGCCAAGAGTTTGGTTGTCAGCGTTAAGGGTGCAAATAATTCCATTTAAAATAAGTTTAGGGGGGTAATAGGATTCCCACAAAGAAAAAGTGTGTAGTTGGAAATTCGGGTATAGGTCAGGGGGTACTTATGCATTTTCCCTTTTTAACTACTATTGGAGTTCAGATATGAGATATGACTCTCAAGTAATTTCTGAACTCAAATCAGAGGCACTTAAAGCATATCTGATGCCCACAAACCATTCCACTCAAGACAACAGAACAAAAAAGTTTAGGTCGGTCTGCTCACTTGGCTCTCTGGATTCTGGATGATCGTGTGTCAATTTTGGGTGTTTTCATTGAATAATCATTACACATTCGAAGCAGAAATTCGTTGTGGGGGTGCCAACCATCTCTAGGAGTTCATGGTGTTGATAATTACAACAGGGACTAAAGGGGAGAGTATAGTTGAAGGATAGCAGAGTTGATAGCATCTTACGCAATCATTTGCCAACAATTATTTGGAAGGTGTTGGTTAGCGCTTCTTCCAGAAAGTTTGAAAACTCTCTGTCTATCTTGTTGAAAGAGACGTGCTTGGTTTAAGAGAATAATGTGAGTTTATAATTGATCTGCATTTGCATGTGCATTTACCGTCTTGTCACGACCCGGATTTTCCACCTCTCGGGAATCGTGATGGCGCCTACTAATGAGAGCTAGGCAAGCCAATCATTAACTACTTACTTCATTATCAAATTACTTCCTTTTAACAAATATAAGTCGATAACATGAAAACAACGAACTTTAAATAACTAAGCGGAAGATAACAATTAAATGTCTGAAATCTGCATCTATTACAAATTTAACCACCCAAAACCTGGTGTCACAGTATCACAGACGGTCTAACATTTACTACATACAAAGTCTGAAGAAATAATAATACACTGTTTCTGAATGTAAGGAAAATGAAACAGGAAAGTAGGGATAGAGGGAGACGTCAGGGCCTGCGGACGCCTGCAGGTCTACCTTGGATCTCCGCGTGGACTGAAGGTGGCCGCCACGCTATGGTCCAAAAGCTGCTCTGGGATCTGTACATAGTGCAGAGTGTAGTATCAGCACAACCGACCCCATGTGCTGGTAAATGTCTAGCCTAACCTCGGCGAAGTAGTGACGAGGCTAGGACCAGACTACCAAATAAACCTGTGCAGTTCAAATATATATATACAGCGGAAAAGAAATACAGAAATAACTCGTCAAAGTGGGAGGGGGGAACATGCTGTAGGGGAGATAACAGTTCCGAATAGAAAGACATCAAGTAAGGAAAGAAATAACATAACTCGAACATCAACAAAGAATCAGAAATCAACGATTGCACGACACCACCCCTCGTGCTTTTACTCTCGTCCTTACCAAAGCAATTATATAATAAAAGTGGGCACGGCATCACCCTTCGTGCTTTTACTCTCGTCCTGACCAAAACAATCATATAATCAAGATGTGCACGGCATCACCCTTCGTGCTTTTGCTCTCTTTCCTCACCATATAATCAATAAAATCGGCA